GTTGTTAATTGTATAACATATATATATATATATATATATATATCTACATATTTTAATTAGTAATTAACGTAGATTAATTAATTATGCAGAGTCATTCATATCAATAAAGTTTGAAGAGAATGGAGTTGCATCATGGGAGAAGGGCACAGTATCAAAGGTATCTCTAGAGCACTGCAGCATGTCATGGAACAATCACAGCAACAAGAGTGTGATAGAGCATGCCAAATCACGTTCCCCGCTGAGGTGGCGCAGGCGGATTGGTCACCTCTTCCACCTCATCAGGCTCAAGAGGTCTACAGCCTGCCACGTGGCAGCCAAGGTGGAGGGTGTGAAGGTCAGAAAGCAGGGTTGGATAAGAACCCTAACCAAGAGAAAGACCACCCAAGAAAAGGTTAATTAATAACAAAAGTAAAGTTGTATAGAAAGGGAGTTTCTGTTTTGTGTTTTCCATATATATATATATATATATATATATATGATTTGGGTGGACTGTAAAACTTCATTATTGACATGATATGATAGAGTCAAATACCCTTTTGCTAGCTTTACAATTCTTTGGCCTCTTGCTGGTAAATTATTTTCCTTTTCCTTTTTCTAATCTTTATTATGAAAAACAGTGCAGACTGTAAAAGAATTCCCACTTCTTCTTTCTTTTCTTGGAATCAATTGTTCCTGCAATGAATGTGCTTTTGGTTTTGGCTTCGCAACTAGCATAATATATACACATATATGTAATAAAGAGAAATCTTTGTATATATGCGTGTGTATTTTAATTCTTAGCCTGTATATATATGTATATATATACTTGTTCTTTACTTTTGAAGGTTTGGTTCAGAAAGTTTAGTGGGAAACACAAGGGCATGAAGAGGGTATTCCCCAGTATAATGCATAGTGAAATTACTATTTGTCTTATAGTTGTCTTTTGGTGCAAGAATATATCTTTTTCTCCACACACCACCTAATTATATATATTCTTCATCAGCCATCATATTCTCTGTAATTCCTATGTATATGTAAACATGTTATGTATGCATGTATACATACATACATACATACATATAGATATATATATATATATATCATGTGTACACATGTTACGTGGGGCAGTCTTGGCGTGTGAAGAGGTTGCTTTTGTCAGTTCATGGGTGCCCTTGGGTAGGGTAAGGGCATGTTTGTCCCAACTGCTGGCTGTAAGTATAGATGGTCCCATTGTCACTATTAGGGACCAAAGCCTCTGTTTAAAGGAGTTGGCTGAAAATGACAACACATAAATCTTAACCCAATTCCAACCAGAAACTGATCAAATAACCATGGCTACCTGCATTTGTTTATGTCTGAAATTAATTAATTCATTCGTTTCTTTCCCAATTTATATATGAATTTATTTTTTTAATCTAGTTATGAAGTTTAGAAAAAGGAACAGAGATTTAAAGCCTATAATTTCTGTAAATCATTAACCAGTGATAATTTCAAAAGGGTAAACTGTTCATAACGTCATAATCAAAAGGGTACTCTTTTTTTTTTTTTATAGCCTAAATCAAAAGAGTACTTTACACAAGATATAGATTCCAGTGAATTTGGAGCTTACAACTTTAATTAGGATATATAAAACCTTTGGATGATATCAATTAGGAAACTAGGCAACATAAGATCTATACATGCTAACTTGTGAACAAAGGCAACTTTAATTAACACCATAATACCAAAAATTTACATGGTTTTGGCCCTACAAAATAAGGGTATGTGACAGAAAATAT